TTTATCATGAATTTTGCAGTTGGCAGCACTTTTATTTTTAACGCCTGACCATTGGAGCCCTGCTCTTGCAGGAGCCTTTTTCTCTATCTTTTTAATACAAGCAAGAGTCTAGCTGTCATTTTTGCAGAGGGAGGCTATAAAAGGTGAAATAATTACAGCGTAAGGGATCTAAAGCCAGAAGGCTGGTCAAAAAATCCACAGTATTTTTTAATTTCATTATTTTTTAACATTTGGAGTTAGCTGTGGCTGCGAACATAAGTCCTATAATGATGAATTGAACGAGCAATTGGTTCATTCGGAGTACCAGAACAAATCAAGGAGTAGCACATCACCCAGAGTACTCTGCTATAATGCAAAATTTGTGTACTGGGTGAAGATAAGTGCTTAGGAGATGATCCAACATACCACACCAAAGAAACAAACCAGCTGAGCGCCTTCATTTCTCTCCAAGCACTACAATAAATCCATCATATATCTACAGTTTCACTTGAAAGCTAATAGGTGTCCTCAAGTGGGTAGCTGATTGTCGTTCAGTTGGAACGAGGTCCACGGAAAACAGCTCCCAGGGTATCCTTTTGGAGGATGGGAATAAGTCTCTGGTTGGCAGTGCTTTGCACAGCACTGACCCAGATATCAATGTGGGTAGGTGAGGTGTATTTCTGCTATGGAACTGTGCATTTTCCAGTTATCCCCCCCTTAACTGTAACCCTTTTATGAGAAATTTCAACCCATTTAAATTAGGTACAGAAAGGGGAGAAAAAGTTCTGATGGTGTTGCACGTTCTCAGAGCGTCTTGCACATTTTCCAGCGCTCCTCCAGAGCAGGAGGACTGTCTCCCAGTGCTTTGCCTCCAGCTCTACAGGGTGCATGAGGCTGAGGGGTCCCCAGGGTGGAAAATGGAGGCAGACAAATGTTGCTGTTTTCCCATCGTTATGCAGACCCACGCTGTCGGGCTGACTGTTTGGTCAGGGCTGTAAACCAGGAGATTTTCCTTCCCTGCTTTCCGTGGCCACCTTGGCTGCTTGCAAAGACCCATGAGCTAGAAGTTCATCATCTGGCCGGCATCCTCCCAAAGGTATTTTAAGAGTGCCGCGTGGAGCACCAGCTCGCAGTGCTTACAGCATTGTGTAGCACTGTGGCAGCAGCAATTCAATCCTTATTTGGGTTTCGGCCAATGTTTGTTGTCCTCACTGGAAATGGTATTGATTATTTGAGCTCAGGAGCCAATTATGGCCGATATGATACTCACCACCTTGCGTCCCAGGATGATGTGTGCCACGGAGGCTGCTTTGCTTCAACTGTACCTGCCAAATGGGCCAGTGAGGCTCTGGAGAGACCTCTGGCCTTTTAAATCACCCATGGCATGAATAAGTGGTTTAACTCATGCCCTAAACCTTATTTGACGTGTGTTTGTTGGGTTTGGTTTGAGCAGGGATTGACATTTGTTTAATATCTCCCTCAGGGGGTGCTGTGTCCCACACGACGTCTGTCTGTCTGCTTGGTGGCACTGCAGATTTCATGCAGCAGGGAGAATTTTGGATGAGAGAAAACTGCTGTGCTAACGGAGAGCGGTACCGTGGGCTATTGGAGCCCAACAGCGGTTGGTACCTAGCGTTGCACTGCCAGGCAAAATCACACACGAGATGAGTGCTTGTGCTTGGGCTATCAGGATGATCACATCTTGCGTAGGTTGGTGGGGTTCCGTGCTAGCTACTGTGGATGAAATGACAGCTGGAGTCTGTGAACCTCCTCTGCTTGCCAGCGATGGTTGCGATGATGGGCAGCAAGTGATGGCTAGGGAGCCTGCGGGCAGCTGAGCCGCTCCTGGGTGCCTGCCCCTGGCAGCAGGTCTGCAAAGTGTTACACAGCAAAACCGCAAGAATCGAAAGGCTTCACCCCAATGCACATCCAAAACAAAGACCCTGATTATAATAAACAAAGCCTAAGTCTGACCTCTGAGAGGCCCTTCTCAGGCAGAGGTGAGATGTCCCCTGCGATCAGAAGGGGGAGCGACCTGCACTCTGATAAACCGGTTGCAAGAGGATCTTGAGAACCCAACAGAGAGATTTCTGCGCTGCTCTCGCAGTGTGAGGACAGGGGATGCTGCGGTGCTGAAGCTGCGGGGCGTCAGGAGCTCTGCTCTCCTGTAGGGGAAGTGGTGGAGATGGTGGGTTTGCTGGGTTGGTGCTGCAACATGGGAGATTCCTCATTCTGCTCTTTATTTATTACCTCATTCTGCCTCACTGAGTCTGCGTTAATGTTACATCTGGTGTTTTCAGCTCTCCTTGGGTTTACTGCATTTAACAGCTTCCTGGGCAAAGCACCTTCCCACATGGCTTATTTGATGCTATTTAGATGAATTTGTTCAGCCTCAAGCCTGGGTTTGTTTCATTAAAATTTGGGCTGTACTTTTCCATCTGGCTGCCTAGTGGAAACAGTGTCCAAAATGGGTATTTCAGTCACTTTCTATATATTTTTTGCAAAGTTAATTGAATTATGAGAAGCAGGTTACTTAAGCAAATGCAGTGGCCCCTGTCATACTTCATAGGGCCTTTTAAACACATAAAACCAAACACGATCAACACTTTCCAGTAATTACAAATGCAACGGACAAAGCAGCCTTCCTGTCCCCTGAGGAAGAGGTTGATGAGGTCTTCTTGGGGCAGCTCCTCCAGCACCGCTGCTGCCGGAGTGAAATGTGATAATGCCTCCATCCACCATGAAATACTGCATTTTCCGTCACATCCCTGACCCAAAATAGTATTTAAACTGGTATTTAATGAACTGCAGCCAGGCCCACGTCACCCGTACAAAGCAGGAATATCATCTACTCCGTTTATAGAGAGGGAAATGAGTTGTGATCTCTTCTCGCTGCTGGTAATGAGTCGTTAGCGGACTTGGGCACATCTGGGACGTGCCCGCTGCGGGTGGGACAGGTCGGTGAGCGCAGGACCCCGGAGGACGCGGAGCTGCCCGTGCATCCTGCGCAGCTGGCGCAGTTACTAGGTCAGCCGCGCTGCCAGAGGCTTTTGGGGATGAGTTTGCAGAGAGGAAAGGTGTCACTTGACCTTTCTGTGATTTAGTTGCCTGGCTGCTTTAATGGCTTTGGGATGCGGGAAATGGAAGTGTAAATACTGATGACGTGCAGGTGGCCTCGCCTGCGCCTGCCCGCTCCCCGCTGCCAGGGAGCAAATACATGTCCAAAGAAGTAACACATGGGTTTTTTTTCCTCCTCCTTCTTATTTATTTCACAGGCAAGGAGCAGAGGTGGGGATAAAGGAAAAAAAGACGTCAGCTGCTTATTAGATCAGCAGCAGTTGTTTTGAGCCCTAGCCTCTCCATGCCAATTGATGTAGTAAGCTTTGTTTTGGGGGTGCTTTTCTGATGCGAAGGGCTGGCTGATCGGAAAATGGTATTTTGCTGCAGTAATTTACCACAAGCAACTTGCACTGGTCTCTCTGAGGTAACATGTTGTTGATTAATGCACAAACTTACCCACTCTCCCTGGTGTCTAGTTTTCATTCCATGTAAGCTCTGATTATTCAGTGAAAAAGAAACATTGGCCTATGAAGCTAAACATCAAAATGCAGAAGCAGAACCCTCAGTGTCCCCACTGTTTGCAGTGTGTTTGCTCAGGGTTATTTTCATGCCACACACAATTGAGGTTATTGAGGAGAGCAAAATGAACAGTATTTGTTATTCAGTTCATTTTGGGTTTTCAGCGCTGTCGTTGTCTCACAGCAGTGGTGCCTGGGGATTCAGGGCGTGTGAGGTTATGAATTTATTACATGGTGTCTGGAGCTGTACAGAAACAGCTCCCAAAGGTCTCACTGAAGGAGATGGAAAGGATACTGTACGGAGGAGCCAGGAGTGGGTGGACAGAGTAGGAAACGTGGGTTCAGAGGCATGAAGTGGCTTGCCTACAGTGCCAGAGTGCTGACTGCAAGAGCAGCAATACTGGGATTTATGCTTTCAAGCTGCTGGGCTGCATCTAACCTCTAAGCAAAGTGTGTAGGTTTCTGCTGGGACCTCCGCTGTGTCTTTGCTGGCTGGATCTGCATCTGAGGTCAGGTTCCTTATGCCAAGTAGATTTAACTGGGATTATGTATTTGTAAGTCTGGTTATGGATCTGAACTGTTTGTTTCTATAATTTGCCAAACCAAAATCCAAAGTCCAGAGAATCGTAGAGGAGTTTATACCTTCATTCCAGAGTCCACATCTGGTTTTACGGGCTGTTAATACATTAAGGTTTCTTTAGAACAGTTAATAATTTGTATTAAATGGTTTAGCTGCAGATTTTTAACTACCGAATGACAGCAGACTAAAAGCAAATGGCATGGAACCAGGGTTATTCTTAAAAAGATCTCCCATTATCTTAGTATGTGATCGCCTTGTAATCTCTAGTGTTCGTGTTACACCATCCATCCCTTACAGAGCTGTGCGGCTCTTGTCTTCTGCTTTAGAGATGGAGGCAGCAGCCCGCAGATGCACAGGGTACCTGCTCTGCATCTTCCAAGTCTTGGGCTAGTGCCCAGGTTGCTCTGTCAACCTCCATCTCATGTTCAGGAGAACAAAAGTCGGGTTTAGAGCAGGAAAAAGGAAGCGAAAGAGACCAGAAAAGCTCGAGTGAAGTATTTGGAGAAATTGTGTGATAGAGGACATTCAAGTTAAGTCAAGAACCTCAGGCTGTTTCCACATGGGGAATTCATCAGTGCTGGTCACCAGCATCCGAGTGAATGGCTGAGGCTCATGTAATTCCCTGTGTTGTCCTTGAAGATCTGTATGAATCCTGCAGTGGAAGCTGATGCAATTGGTATATCTAAAAAGCGGCCCCGTACCAACCTGTGAAGCAGCGTGGGAAGCCCAGGAAGTTGGCTGGATAAGTGGGCTCATCTCATTCCTTGCACTGAGGTCTGTGCTAACCACATACGGACCAGACGGTGGACCTGGCTTTCTCCGCCTCTAAAACAAGCCTCTGTCTTCCCCCTCTGTCTCTGCAGAGCTCCCTTCCTCGGAACACTTGAGCGTGGCCGATGCGACATGGCTTGCCCTCAACGTGGTGTCTGGTGGAGGTGGCTTCTCCGGCTCCCAGCCCATCGGAGTGACCAAAATTGCCAAGTCAGTAATAGCACCCCTAGCTGACCAAAACATCTCGGTGTTCATGCTCTCCACCTATCAGACGGACTTCATCCTGGTAAGAGGACGTGAGAGGACCAGGCAGAGCTATCTGCCACCAGATGAAAGCTCAGTTGGGCAGTTTTAATGACATTTCTGGGAACAGGTTGTTTGAGTAGCGGCAGAAGTACCGAAGTCTGCTTTCCCCAGAGCTCTGTGCCTTGTAGTTAGGCTCTCTGACATCTCAGGAGCTTTTCCCATGGGATGAGGCGTTTGTTGGTACGGGTTATCTAGTGTCTAATGAGAGTGCTGAGCCCACACTGCAGTCTCTCCCTTAATGGAGGCACTGGCAGCATTTCCCACCATCACTCAGACACTGGTTTTCTGAGAGTTAGAGGAACATAGTGTCTGCTGTTCGGTTGGCTGATGATGGCCAAGAGGCTCCAGGGTTGTTTTGGGGATAGACAGACAGACTGTCCTTCTGTCTCACACACGTGTGTGTGCACTCACAAAGGGCATGACCACATAAGCTTTACTTCCTTAGGAAACAAGGCTGAAGAACAGGCAGTGCTGAGTTCTTGAAGGGATGCTGGAAAAGAGGTGAAACATCTCCCTCTTAGAAGTCCCCACGCTCTTTCCACAGTCTTAAAAGTACCGTGGTGCTTAATCCTACTGATATTTGCAGTGATATTACCAAGATAGCTTCTCTAGCCACACATCCAGATAATAATTATCCTTACACACCTGCTGGCTCAAGCAGGAGTGATGTGTGCCCCTTTCTGTGCCCTGAGAGTACAATACCTGCAGTGTATTCTCACTTTTGGTGCATACCATCACGAGCTAATCCTGTTGTCAACTTCAGGTACGTGAGCGAGACCTGCCCTTCGTGATGCACACGCTGGCTGCTGAGTTCACCATCCTCAGAGTAGTGAACGGGGAGACAGTGGCTGCTGATGATCTTGGGATAACAAATGGATTTGTCAAACCAAAACTTGGTAAGGACCACCATGGGCTCAGCTTGCCATGGAGGTGGTCTCCATGACATGTGGGGGTGAAAGTCTGCCTCCTGCCTTCCTTCAACATGTTGGTGAATGTTTATCCTGTTGTAAGATAATAAAATATCTTGCCTGAGCCTATCGCAGTTCAACCAAGGATTTGAGTAGGTGCTTAACTTACACTGAGCAGTGCTGATGAGCTCTGCTGAATTTGAGCCTTTTAATGCTAGTCTCACATCTCTAGAGGAGATGTGCCTTTTGTAGGACAGAAGGTTAAAGTACAATTCATTTCAGTTGCAAAAATAACATTGTCTGTAGCCCATATTTCCATGTTTCAACATTTCAAAGGAAAATGGCTTATATAAAAGCTTGTTTAAGTATTGCAGTGATTGATGCACAGAGAATACTGTTGTTCAACGTTCACGCTTCAATACCGGTCAGGATCAAGGCCACAACGAGCCCAGGGCTGTACAGACTCTTAGGATGTTTCCAGTCTAGAGGAGCAAGCATCAAGCAAAGGGCACAATCAGGAAAAGGAACTACTTAAATACATATGTTTACCTACACACCTGTGTGTAATTTTGTGCCTGTAACCACACAAAGCAGGGATCAGTTATTATGAAGTGCCACTCAGCCTTGTCACTTGATAGCTATAGATAATCTTGTTTAAGAAAATGTGAGCCTTAAACAAAAAGCATAAAGGAAGGGCACAGCGAAACGCACGTTGATTATGCACATGTACGCGATTTGCTGTGTTGCTCTGTTCAATAGTTGCACGCCTGAATACCGGCTGCTTCTCAGCCACTGGCTGCAACGTGTTTGCCAAGATGCATGGCAGCTGGTTTTTAATTTTTGCAGGTATTATGGCAAAATAGGCCCCTAGAAAGGAAGGAAAAGAGGGTGTACTGCCAGCAACCACAGCCAGAGAAATGCCTTCCATAGCCCTGCCTTTTAAATGGTGGAAGCCTGAATTTATTTCTACTTTTCAGATTGTGTTGGCACCTCCTTTAGCTTGCCCCCTGTCTCATGTGGGTGCACCCGATGGCCTGAAAGCCCCTACGAGCAGAGAGCTGACCTGTGCCCCGTGCAGGGCAGGGTACTCAGGATGATCTCACCCTATACCCCGGGGAGAACACCACAAGAGCAGGGTGTCCCCAGGCTCTTCGGTCCCTGTCTGAGAGCCAGCAGGGCTTCAGCAATGAGGAACTTCCTTACAGACACTGTCAGTTTTCTCTGTGGCTGCTGCCGGCGCGCGGATAACACGTCTGGTGGGACGTGAACCCGCTGCAGACGTGGCTTCCTAGTTGTGTGTGTCCGTGTGTGTCTCTTTCAGTTCAGAGGCCTGTCATTCATCCCCTTTCCAGTCCAAGTAATATGTTCTGCGTCACCAGCCTGGATCCAGATACCCTTCCCACTGTTGCTACGCTCCTAATGGATGTCATGTTTTACTCCAATGGGTAGGTCCCAGCGGGGAGACAAGGCTCCCGGGGGAGGTGTGGCCGGCATCTGGAGGCACAAATTCACATTGCTTCTCCAGGATGCCCAGGGATCTGCTGTGGCCTTATGCTGCTGTGGTGCTCTGCACTTAGGGAGGGAAGTTACACAGGCTCAAGAGGGTTGTCCTGACAGGTGGAAGCCAAATAGGAGATTGAGGGTGCCCAAAGACATCCGCTGGCTTTGGAAAGCTGAGCCTTTTCAGGTTTAAGCTAAGAGTAGCAATGCAATCAACGTGCTGCATGTCCACATATGACTGGAGGATGTACGGCTGGCTGTACTGCTGCCCATTGGAGCCAGTGGCTCCCGGCCCACAGCCTCCTGTGAGAGAACCTTGGGGCAGGGATGGGAGAGTTTTGTCAATTGTGGGGACTGGTATTTTTTTCCCCTGCAAAATGAAAAAAATGAAAAGCAGTGTAATGTGACAGGACTCAGTGTCACTTCCCTAAGTCAGGGTATGAACGTTTCTGGTTTCACTGGCTATATCTGCTTTAAAAACCTTCCTTTGCTCTTCTAGCCACAGTTAATGCTGTTCTCTTCTGTTTCTTCAGAGTAAAAGACTCGGTGGTGGGCAACGAAGACTCGGGACATATTCGCTTTTTCTCCTTTTCTCTCATTGAGGGTTACATCTCCTTGGTCATGGATGTCCAGACACAGCAGAGGTGAGTTTTGGTCTTAGAGTCTCCTGGACCCAAAAAAAGCACCCGGGATGTTCTCAAAGGAGCAGGAAGCAGCTTAAGCTCCTCCATGTTAGTTCTTGGGAGCTTCATTGCGTGGGTGTCATGTGCCTGTACACCCTGTCACTTTTCTGAGTGAAGTCTGGCATGTTAGTTCCAGCTCCTGAATTTTGGGCTTGTCTGTCCAAGCCCTCAGTGACATCACAAGCCAATGTAACGTAGGGTTATCTCACTTCTGAAAGAGGAACACTGGAGCAAGTGATTTTGACGTTTTTATTCCATTATTAGTTGCGCTTTTAAGAGCAAAACCTAAAAAAATCTGGTGTACATGGTCGAAATTTTACTACTAAAGGCCAAAAGTAGGGTGGGGATGTCAATCTCACTTTTGAAAGAGGAACACTGGAGCAAAGTGATTTTGACGTTTTTATTCCATTGTTTATTAGTTGCGCTTTTAAGAGCAAAACCTAAAAAAATCCGGTGTACGTGGTCGAAATGTTACTGCTAAAGGCCAAAAGTAGGGTGGGGATGTCAGCGATGCTGTCCTCCTGCTTTGGTTTTACACACGGCTGGGCTTGGTGCGGAGCCTCGTTGTGATGATAATGTACTGAGTCATCCCTGTGCAGCGGGAGCCCATGACTCGTTTGTCTGGCAAGGAGAAAGTCAGCTAGGGAGCAAATATCGGCCTGTTTGTGTGTGTGTGTGTGTGTGTGCGTCTGCAGCTCCACATCACAGAAGTCTCTGAGGTCTGGAGGCTAGATAGGATGCTGCACTGAGATGCAATGCATGGACTTGCTTTTGACACACAGTGCAGTGTTTGGTTTTGATTCTTGCCTGCCCTAGGGACTTGTTTTGCAGACTATTAATTGCCCTCTTGAAAGCTGCTTTGACCTTAATTGGAGTAAACCTCTGTATGCCTTCAAGAGAGGCTAGAAGGTTGGAGCGGCAGCCTGGTGCTTGGGGAACCTGGGCAGCCAATTCCTTCTCTGTCACAGACTGCCTGCTTGACCTTGGGCAAGTCTCTTAGCCACTGGTCTTCCTTCCCCTGCTAAGTAATGGGGATCTGCGCAGGGATCCCAGGGACCTCCCGGCGATGGTATGGGAAAAACCACCCGTGATGCTCATACACAAAAGCAGTGGTCACTGTTCACGTTCCTAAGAGAGTAGGTATGGAAATGTATTAACGTGTTCTGTCCCTAGGTGTTTCTAAATGCGGCTCAAATCAAGCCTTCAGATTAACAGTCTCGACGTTTGTAAAGCTGGGGCATGGCTTGTTTCTTAGAAATCTTTTTCCATGCCTCTCTGTGTGCCTACGCACACTTCCAGCATCAGATGCTGATTTACCATAGGACATCTGGAGGGGCAGGCAGGTGCTTCTGTCCCCCTTGCCTTGAGTTTTCTCAGTTTCACCGAGCTGCCGCTGCCGCTATTGTTGGCTTCAAGCAGCGCAGGGATACAGGAACAGCAGCATCCCCGCAGGCAGAATCTGACACACTGCTGTGTTTTAATTGCCACGTTTGGTGTTCCTTTTCTTTTGCAGATTTCCTAATAATTTGTTGTTTACAAGTGCATCTGGCGAACTCTGGAAGATGGTGCGGATTGGTGGGCAGCCTCTTGGCTTCGGTAGGTAAACATTTGGGGGATCAGCTGGTGCACAGGTAGTCAGTCGCCTCAGGGCCTTCAAGGATGATGGAAAAATCCATCTGAGGCTGAGGGTTTTTGAGAGCCAGCAGCTTAACATGACTTTGCAAGCTGAGATTTTCAGACAGGAGGAGTCTGACTCCTACCTAATAAGTCAGACTTCTAAATATACTTTTGAAAGTGCTAGATGCTTGACAGCTCCATCTAAATTGCATTCATCTGCTGGACTTTGGAGGTGGCTGCAGCTGGGTCTCTGTTTAAAGAGAAAAAGTGGACAAAAAGATGGCATGGGAATGCATTGCAGATCCCTGAAATCAGTGGTCCGAAGGCACTGTCGTGCAGTCCTTGGGCAGCTCTGTGGCTTTAGTAGATCTAGTATAGATTTATAGCAGTCCAAGTGGCAGTCCTATTCGTAGACCTGTTTCACATCCAGTGCTGCAAACGTTTTCTCTACTCAAAAGAATATTGGACCTAAGTAGCACAGAGCAAATGCTTCACGTCTGCAGAAGTGTTCTCGTTATTTTTACGTCCCCTGTAATTTTAAGGAGTCCATTCTGAATACTGCAACAAAGGCCTGATCTTCAGAAGACACTGGGGCTCCTTCCCATGGTCTCTGAAACAGTTACAAAAATACGGGCCTCAAGAACATTTCTGACAAATGTTTGGCCAATTTTTATATTTAATTGCAACTTCTACACCAGACAACCAAAAGTAGCAAGAAGGAAATTTTCATGCACCTTCTCTGTATGCATCTTAGAGGCAAAATACATAGAAGTGGCATGGTATATGTCATTGATGGGACATCAGGACACCTACAGGTCCCCTAAATATGCGATGTTTAAACATGTTAGCTTACAATCAAGTTGAAATGTTCAATTTGGATCAGTGAAACTCAGATTTCATCTGGAAACAATGTACCATTGATCTGCGATGAATAGGACAGATGAACCATTTAAATTGGCGTGAAACTCTGTCTCGGGGGCTGCGGTGGTTTGTGGTCTAGGAACCATGTGTCCAGGCCGACCAGCGGGTCAGCATCTCCTCTCTCAGAGATGCAGGGCAAAGTGTTTAATAGCAACAACTAAAGAGAAAAATGGAGGTTAGGGGTGTATGAGACTGGTTTTGGTGCTTCCTTCCTGAATGTCATTAATTGGCTTTCTTTGGACCTCTGAAAATCATTCCAGTTCTCATGTTTTGTGCTTTTGGGGGATTTACATTTCTCTGTAATAAAAAGAAGGCAATAAAATCAAACGTGCAATGTATCGTGGTGGCCCAAAGAGCCTGATTCTGTGAGAAAGAACACATTTTACTACAGAGATCCCTTCTGCTTGGAGTTTGTGAAGATAAACTCCTCCCTGTATGAGCGCGGAGCTGGCGAGACCCAGGAGTTCTGCGAGACTGTGTGCCGTTCAGACAATGATTGATATTTTATCTCCCCCACAGATGAATGTGGAATTGTCGCTCAGATTTCTGAGCCTTTGGCCGCAGCCGACATCCCAGCCTACTACATCAGTACTTTTAAGTTTGATCACGCATTGGTGAGTATCAAGACAGCTTCTTTGGAATAGGGGAGATCTTTTCCCTGGGAGAAAACTCATGATGAGAACATCATTTCCCATCTGGAGAGCTTGTTGGAGTGCCTTTGCTCTGACATAGCCCAGCAGATAGCTCTCTCCAGCCTCCTGGCTGTCACTGCCCTGGGTCAGAGGCTCCTGAACATAGCCCAGCCCTACCCCAAGGCGAAGCCGTGTCAGGGAGTGTCATTCTTGCAAAAGGCTGGTCTTGGTCCTTAAAGACCTGCAGTGATGGAGCCTTCACGACCTCCCCAGGCAGTCTCTTCCCCTGCGTCACTATTTTTTATTAGACACAGCCACAAGCCCTCTCCGTTTTCCTGCAAATGTAGTCGGAGGCTCCAGACTCTCAGGAGGGTGCCTTTGTGTGTGTGGAACTTTTTGGAGAGTCTCCCAATAGCACACCCCTGCCTTCATCTCTTGGTACCTGCACGGCCCTAGCCTTTGCATTTTGAGACCCTGATTAGCTCTGCTGTCCCTGCATTGTCCTCCTCATGGTGTAGGCCTTTGATAAAATAGCAGTAATTGGCAGCACAGCAAGGGGAGGTGATTTTGAAGCAGAGAAGAGTGTTGCCGTGTTTGTTCTCCTGAGTGCCCATCAGCAGTTGCAGCACAGTCATCAGCATGAGGGTCTTGCCATTCATGCAGGGTTCTCTTCTCTTTTATACTGGCAGGTATTTTACCTCCTAGGCCTACCTCTGCTCTTCCTTTGGCTGTATAGGACGCCCTCAAAAATGAGGAATTTCCCTGAAAAGGGAAAGTTGCTATGCCTGTAGCCACAAACAGGGTGGCATTTGACTTGGAGCCCATTCCCCAAGTCCTGAGGGGGGGGAGTGAGTAGAGAGGGGGGGAGTCAGTAACCCAGGCGCTAACAAAGCTAACAAAACTCAGCTACTTCGTGCTTTTCGGGGTTTTTTTCTTAAGCGTGCCCTTTATTGCACTATACTTCTCCTTTCATCACTGTAAATTCACTGCTCAGGCCCTATTTTTGACCTGTAAAAGCCCCAATGAGTTCAAGGCGGGGGTTTTTCAGCTTTGGTTTTTTTCAACTTTGGTTTTTCACAGTTGGTGCGAACCATTTGCAGCCTATAGGTCATGTGTGTAAAGAGTAAAAGTAAATATTATTCCAGATAGCAAAGGTCAAAGTGTTATATATGTTTGTCTTATTTTCTTGAATATTAACTGTGCTGATAAGATAAGCTAATAAAACACCATTTTAAAATCAATACTGTTAGCTTTGCCTCACATTCCTACCTGTTGTTGTGGCCCCAGGTGCATGCTTTCTGTGCAGAGCACAAGGTGCAGAGTGCTTCTAGTTGTCAAGCAGTATCTGGAGAGCTAAGCCCTGTCGGTTAAAATAGATATTTCACTTAAAACTTGGGCCGTACAATTGTGATGACTCTGCAGGCAGCTCCGCCTTTTAAAAGTGTCTCATCCTGCTGCATCTGAGCCCGGCAGATCCCTGCCTCCGAGCAGCTGGCAGGGTATTATTTGGGCCGTGCACATGGTCTGCAGATCTTCCTTACTCGGATCAGTATTTTAGCATTTTCCTTCCTACTTGCTGTTTTCTTTTTGTATGGTTTTAAAAGCCTTTTCATCTGGGCAGTGCTATTCTAGCTGTCCAATCCTTCCACCATGTGGAAGGTGCATTTCAAGCCCTCCTTTGCTTGACTTTGCTCCGAGCGTGGTGGCTGGGCTGCGTGCTTGCTGGCTCTGGGTTGGTTTGGTTGGCCAAGACCCTGACCTAGATTTTGTCATGTTTTCCCTAACTTTGCTACCCAGATACCTTGACTTCTAGTGACATTTCTCAGGGTCTAAGTGCATCTTTAATCCTTTCTCTACATCCTCCCTTTCTTTATTTAAGGTTGTTCAGTATTTGTTGTCAACCATTTAGAGTGCTTTATAAAAGCTTGTTGTTCCCTTTGACCTGATCTTTTTTCTCCTGTGCATCTTAAGGTGGTTTTTGTTGCTTAATTTTTTATCTGACCTGGGTCTCTGGTGTGTCCCCTGGGTGACATAAGGTTGGGCTGGAGAGAGCTATGGTTTCCAGCTCCCTCTAGAGAGAGCAAGTGAGAAGAGTTCCTTTTCCAGGTGCTCTGCTCTCGCTGCCTCATGCTCAGAGGTATCTTGCTCTTCTTCACCAGCGTTTTGCATCTAATGAGGCTGAAGCTGTGTCTGGGACGTAGTTTGGAGCTTTACTTCTCCCTTCATGGTGGATGCTTTGATCTGCCTTCTAGCTGATAAGTGAACATGTTGCTCCAGCTGCCCTGGGATAGGGATCTTTTCTAAGGGGCAGAGAGGGGTGGGACTTCTCAACTGGTGGCAATCTAGGATGTGTCCTACAAATCAAAACTGTTCGCACATCTGTCCTGGAGAAAATCCGGCCCAAACATTTGTGCTATGATTGATACTGTTTCCTTGACGTTAAGGGAGTCAATCATTTTGCAGCGAACGTAGGATCAGCCCCTTGTGTTTCAGTGGGGAGGTGGGTCCGTGCAGGGCAAAGCCAGTTGGCCCGAACTGGCGGGGTCTGCTGCCTCCTGCTTCTGTACTGCACTGAAGGAGCGTACGGAGAGACCCGCTGATCAGCCGCTGGGGCTGGCTGAGAAAATGTGTTTTGCTAAATCGATTCCTATGTCTTTTCTCATTATCTTCCGGAGAGGCAGAGAGTCGTACACCTTCTTCCACTGCAGTGTTCAGTGTACTGGGAAAAACGATGGAGGGGAGGCAGTGGAGAGTCCCGTCTCAAAGTCCTGTTCCCTGTGGTGGAGGTTTGCTGGGGTTTTCTTCCTAACCCAGAAGAATTTGCTGTATGGTTGTTTTAAGATTATTTTCTTCCTTTCTCAGCTGAGTCTTGTTCACACATCATCAGACTTAGCCGCTCCTATTCCATCTTCCCATTGGAAAATTGAACATTTTTCTTGTTATTTCTCATGGGTTTTTTTCCTCAGTTTTGTTAAAAGCCTTGCAGAAAAATCACAGTCCCGTTGTATTTCCACTGTCTGAGCTCTGGAGGGTGTCCAATGAATCCAGGTATTGTACTGCTGGCCAAGGACTCAAGTACCTCGCAGGAGACAGTCCCTTCTTCAACTTACTTACCGTGAATTATTTTGGCTTCTTGCAGCAGCTCACAGATAATTTATTTTTCCCTCAGTCCCCTTTCCACTTTCCAAGAGCCGTTAGCTGCCTGTCCCCTGAGTGTCGTCTTTGAGTTTACGTAACGGTCAGATGCCTCTTTTCTGTCTGATGTAACTTTACTTGTGATATTCTTTTCTACCGATGACGGTCGCTCTGAGATCTTTTGCATCTTCTGTTACGAGGATTTTTTCTTGCAGTAAGTGTGAAAAGACACCCACTAATAATTTTGTATATGGACTTCTATGGTTAAGTCTCATCACAAGACTGGATAAGAAAGCTCAGGTGCTACGCCACACCATCTGGGAGCCCCCACCACAAGCAGACTGGCAGTTCTCTTCTTCTTTTGATGGACACGTTCCTCTGTCACCCGACGTGGTCTCCCCACCCACACTTACGGGTCCCAAACCTGTAGGATGCCCCGGTGAGCCTCATGGAGCCCTTAGGCAGCCACATAAATCCATCAGCACAGGCACCTTGCATGAGCAAGCTCCTGGCGTACAAATGCTTTACCAACGAAAGGAAGGGAAAGGAGGGGAGAGGAAGAGGAGAAGGAAAGGAAAACCCCAGAACAGTTGCCTCCCCGCCAGCACCCACCATACAGACAGCAACCCAGCCAGATCTCACTTACAAAGTTTGCTCCTAGGGGTACCATGGGTTAACGCTTCTGAACCGGAGGGTGTCTCTTGTGGGTGGAGTCCTTTCTCAGTGGACTTCAGGCATCCAACAGCAAAGTACCTGGCTCCTTGGGACTGTTCTGGCTTCGTCTCCTGCCTCTCCTTCCCTTGTTGTCCCTCCCTGGCTTTTGCTAGAGCATGACCTTTCTTTTTGTTTTCTTGCAGGTACCTGAAGAAAATATAAACGGTGTGGTCAATGCACTCCAAGTCAGTCAAGCTGAAAAGCATTAGAAATCTTCTGAGCTGGTTCCAGATGCTTTTTATTATTATAATTATTATTATTATTATAATTATTATTATTATTATTATTATTCTTTTTTTCTCACAGTATTTCTTGAAAAATCTGATTCCAGAGAGTGACATGAAAAGAGACTGTGGAAAGTTGAGCAGAAACAGCTCCAATAAGCCTTTGTTTTAATTATTATTATTATTATTATTATTGTTATTTTATTAAATTTATGAATGAGGGGCAGGAGGAAAGGGAGTTCAGACGGTTTCCTGACGTTCAGCTCCAAGGCGAAGCGTAACCTGCCCGTGTTCTCGGTGTGGAAGGAGCTGCCCGGGGACACCCGTCTCTCCCCGCAGCGCGGCGGTGCGGATGGCCGCATGCGCGGGCGCTCTGCCGAGAGCTTCGCGGCACGTCTGGGATGGGTGGGCCGCTTGCTCAGAGGGAGCCCTGAAAACCGTAAACAAAATGAAATGTGGAATTAAACAGAAAAGACGTCGCATAGTGCTGGCTTGTCTCCTCGCATCAGACTTTCTGAGGACTGTCCATCATTGCGTATGTTGAAATAGGATGGGAATTGGGTTCTGTTTCCCCTGGCAAAACTGTTTGGCATTGGAAAAGGGGAAAATATCCAGTTGTTTGAATTTTCCCCTTCTCCCTGCAGCCAAAACCTGGCTGCTCCGAGAAAACCTGGGCAGGGGGAGCATTGCTCTGGCCCACCTCCTGGCAGATGGTGCCACCAAGACTTCCGTCTGCATTGAAACTTGGCTGTTTTAGCTCAGTTTTCCCCAGACACCCTCCCACCGCCCCCAGCGTCCTCCCGCCATGTCCCCTGCTCCAGGGCAGCTGCTGTCCCCTCGCCCTCACATCAGAGCCATACCCAAGCCCTTGTCCCCTAGGGCCAGCAAGAGGAGGGAGGTATCTCTTCTCCTGTCCCCGTGGGCTTTCTCCCATCCACTTCGTACACATTCATGGGGACATGAAGCGTCGCCCGGGGTCCCTGGGTAGCTGCTCCTGCACGTCCCAGGCTACCTCGGCCAAGAGCCACAGCGGGTTGTCCCCACCAGGGCCAGGAAGGTGCCCACGCCCTGCTGGGACCCTCCTGCAATTTTTTGGTCAGCTCCTTCATCACCAGGGTGGATCACCACTGCCAGCTGGGGACTTGACTCCCAGGGTTTTTCCATTGGGTCCGGTGGGCAGCCCTTCAAAAGTAGAAGGGTGCTGAAAACGCATAAAACCCGAGGCATTTCCTGCTGGTCCTGTCGCAAGAAGATGATGTGGGCTTTTCCCGTGGGGCAGCAGGAGTGTGTTTGCTCCTGGCTTGAGCCAAAGCTGTGGGCCAGCAGGAGCCAGGCATCGAGGCCCGTGGGGGCACCTGCCTCCGAATCGTGTCCACGGCCACTCCCAGCACCGTGGAAGGCAGCGGTGACTGGTGCCGGGAGAGCAAGCGTCACCCAAGACGTAGGTACCAGCAGCCTGCACCATGCTGTGACCGTGCAGCAAGGGGTGGTGGAAAGGAGAAGCCGTCTACAGAGGACTCTGCTTTTGCGGTTAGGAGCCCAAGGATTTCTTGCATTTCTAGACTTTTTCCAATTTCATTTTTGATATGAAGAAATTGCAGGTCTCACAGTTGTAATGAGGGCTTTCCAGCCTTGCTTAAGAGACAGACTCTAGCATGGTTTTGCTGAGGCTGTGTCTTGCAGGTTTGAGCCAGGGTTTTGCATTCATCTGGAGGCAGTAAGCAAGCACCCGAGATCATGCCACGGGCATGGTTTATACTGGCGTGTAGGACATGCAAACAGGTTTATACTGGTCTGTAGGATATGCAAGCACACACGCTAGCTTACAGCTCGCTGTTTAGTTCTCTATTCATGGTGCTGGAGGGCTGAGCTTAACATTTGTGGTTTCTGGTGCTGCTGGATCCAGACATTGAGTTTCAAATCTTTCTGATTTTTCGTCGGTGGGACGTTGTGTGGCAGCTAGACAGGGAATCAGAGCATCCACAGGAAAAATCGTGGGTAACTTTTCCTTTGTAGGCCCTAACTGAGTTAAAGCATCCCTGCTGAGAAACACTTAGGTACATGTTTAATACTTTACCGAACAGTATGTTTTGCTGCTCCTTTACATGGGTTTTCAGAATTGCCCCATGATACATTACATTCACTCCAGATTTCTGGAGTAAAGGCTTATTGCAGGTGCGGCACCACGCGTCTCTGGATGTTTGCTTGGAAGGATGCTTTGGTCTCCTGCCGCGTGCCGTAAGGATGCGAGCACAGGCTGTGCGGTGCAATATTTAAAAAAAAAAGCACTCGGAGATGTTTTATGGGAATCTGCACAGCATTGTTGGCAGTGAGCTGAGCTGAAGGATGCGGCAGGGCGGTCGGTAGCTTTTCACCAGGTAAATTGTTGAAGGGTTTCTCCTTGGGATGGCGGATTGGAGTGTTTGTAGAACTGTGCAGGATTTTTCTGGAGAGGGATACCAGCACGCTAGTTGGTGTACAGCTACTGAGTTGCCAGCCAGGCTTTCTGACTGGCCAAGTTGAGCCTGAGCTTTCCCTGTGTGCGTGGACGGTGTCACCGGGACAGGGTCTTCTTTGTGCTCCTGGGTTTTGTCAACCATTGGAAAATGATTATTTAGCCACTTTCCACATCAGAGAGCAACGTGCGTTGCCCTCTGCGTGTGCTAGCGCTGCTTTCTAAGGACCGCGACATGTACAGTAAGGAATTACTTGAAACAAGCATCAACTTTCTGAGCCTTAAGAGAAAGAGAAAAAAATAGGTTTTAATTTATTTTTTTGTTTTAACTTTGCACTCAGGCTATTTTAGAGGCTGATTTTTTAATTTAAGTTTTCCACTTTTTTCCCCGAGGGAGTTGGCCTTAAATTTGTGAAATCTGTAGAAATTTTTGGGGTGTTTCAAAACTTCACGAAGCAGGTTGACGTCCCAATATGAGAAAGTTAGCCTGAAAAATTCACAAGGTGTAAAATGCCATTGAGGGACTCTCTGTCTCTGCCATCATCCTCGGCTTCACCTTTTTATTTCCTCTCTCATGTTGTCCTGAGAACCAAGCAGATTGTTTCAGACAACTCGCGGTAGTTTGATGCTTTCCCTTTAGCGTTCCCCACACCGCTTTGCTGGGGGGAACTGGGATACTCCGAATTTAGCCAGAATTGGTTGAACCTTGAACCAGAGCCCTCGGGAAGGGCAGTCCAGCGTGCGGTCGGGATCAGTGCAAACTCGTGCAGTGGTGTTGCTTGTGAGACCTTCACTGGATAAGGCGGGAAGGGGTCTGTAGGGGCTTTGTTAAAAAAAAATTAATAGTAATAATAATAATATAACACCACAGTGCTTAATGAGCCCAAAGCAGTGGCTTTTAAAGCTGCTCAACAGCTCCCGCTCTCCCGGCACCTGGCCTTTGGGATGGGGAAAAATTGAAGGGTCTTGTCTTTTTTTTTTAAATGCCTTATGATAATAATGTCTCTGAGCATCCCTGGCGTTGTGCTGTTTAACACTGCGTGGATAAAAGGAGGAACATGTCTTAGTGGGGCGCCCTTCGGCTGGGCGTCTGCATCGCTGAAAGCCCGGGTTACCTGTCAGCCGCCGGCGCTGCCCCGAGCATCCCTGCTCGGCTGTCTGGAGGGTTTCACCAGGTCGTGGTGGCTGCTAATCAGGGATCACCTTAACGCTGCGGGACCCTCCCCGTGCCCGCTCGGTTCCTCTCGTTTGCACAAAAATTCGCCAAACAGCGGAATGCAAAAAGCGTTTCCAGCCCTGCAAGGAGGGGCGGGCAGGGAAGGAGAACATGGCCCTCCTGCGCCCTCCTTGTTTCTCCGAGGCCTTTGTTTTCTGAGACATTTCAACCTCTCTCCTGTTGTGTGTGTTACTACGTAGGTTTCTGTCTTTTTTTTTCCCCTACCCCAATTAGATTTTGGCTGCAAATTCCTTTCTACTGTGCAAGGGTGTGCATATGTTCATATAATTGTATAGTGTTTACATAGAAATACTTAGTACGTCTCTATTGTACACATATATAAATACCTGTGTTTTACGTTCGTATGGCTATATACTGTACATAGCGTATATACTTGAGCAATATAGGTTAATATATACTGTGTGAGTACATGTGCGTATACTCCAGGCACACGCTCTGTGTGTGTGTGTGTATATATATGTAGTAAGTGCTGTATACACACATTTATTCACCATATATTTTTAATTCAAGTATATAGGCAATATGAATACTTAGTTACGCTCTCGGGATTTCTCTACACGTTTTTAGCGAAGAGCAGCAGCGAAGCTGACCTGGAGCAAAGCTGTAGCTCCTCTGCTTGCTGTGAGTGGGCAGAGACCCACGCAGATTCGCAGCGTCGGGTTTTCCTGCCTGCTTCAGAAACACCCTGTTCCTCTTCAGCTTGGTGCCTCAAGCACAGAGACTGTAGGAAAGTTGCTCCTTTTTCTTTATATATATTTTAGTTGCTGCCCTGAATTGCTTCGGCCTGTAAGTAGTGATGGTTCATTTGCAAAGTGCCTGCCCAGACCCCTGGCTGGAGGGTTTGCAATGGGGCTTCCAGTTCCCCCAAGCGCCGGTGCCCGTGCTGCCCGCCTTCCCCGGGCCGAGGCTGGGTCCGGGCGCCGCCCGCGGGGAGCACCTCCTGAACCTCCTGCCCGCGAGGTCTTCGGGACGGCCTGGGCTTGTCGCCGCGTTTCCTCCGGCGCGGGTTCATGGTGGCCTTCCCCAGCGTCTCCGCGCAAGGCTGCACGGCTGCTTTCTGCGGGTGCGTGGTTTCCTGGTGGATGTGGCTGGTGGGGGCCTCGGGGGCCGAAAGGCACCCTCGGTGGCCAGAAGGCAACCCCTGGCTAAGGCAGAGCTCTGGGATTTCTTGGGAAACTCGCATTTGTTGGCCTGTGAGGAGCTTTAAATCGGTGGGTTATTTTTAAATAGATGGAAATGTTGGAGGGTCTTTTCCCGTTAAAAGTAAGAGCGGCTGTTTGAACTCG